ACTTATATTATAAAGTTTCCTTGCACTTTGCAACAATGACATTAACTAACACTTTTATTATACAGTTTCCTTGCACTTTGCAACAATGACATTAAATAACACTTTTATTATACAGTTTCCTTGCACTTTGCAACAATGACATTAAATAACACTTTTATTATACAGTTTCCTTGCACTTTGCAACAATGACATTAACTAACACTTTAATTATACAGTTTTTTCTCCAACTTAAGAGTTTTCAAAAATAATTTATTAGTAGGCTTCTAAAATCTCTGTTTTCTAGAAGCTCATTGAAAGCGGTTATCACCGCTAAGTTGAGATCGTTTTTTAGAAACTTTATTTGTTATTAAGTTTAAAAATCGAAAACAGAAAACTAGAAAAATGTCTATGGAATCGCACAGAATCTTGAAATTTGTAAAACCTTGTTTGTTCAGCACAAAGCTACAAAATGACGTTTACCTGCGCTCTGTCTACTCTGGGGAATCGAACCAAGGATTTTAGAATTGTAAGTCCTTGAACTTTCCTCTATCCCACAAGAATACTTTTTATTTGTTAAAGAGCCAGGCTACTGGTGGTTGAGAATTGAATTTTTTTCAACTTTGCGATGGTTACAAAGGCTTTGCTATTATGTTGGCCCGGCATGGCCAGGTAGTAAGGGTGTTTGACTCGCAATATGAGGATCGTGGGTTCGAATCACCATCCCATCAAACATGCACGCCCTTTCAGCCGTGGGGGCGTTATAAAGTAATGGTCAATCCCATTATTCGTTGGTAAAAGAGTTGGCGGTGGGTGGTGATGACTAGCTGCCTTCCCTCCAGTTTTTAACTGCTAAATTAGGGATGGCTAGCGCAGATAGCCCTCGTGTAGCTTTGCGCGAAGTTCAAAACCAACTGTTATGTATATATTTTTATTTTTTGCTCCCCATACGACAAAGCGCTAACTCTTTGTGTTTCAGATATTTCCAATTCATCAATTTCCTTGAAAATCATTGTTTTATTTTATATTTCAAAGTTTTTATCTGATCGGAAACCTAGCTACTGGGTGTTTGGGATGGGGAGGAATTCTTACATGTTTTAATCTTTAGAATTCTATATGATAAAGAGCTTCATGTACCTTAAAGCTGTGAAAAATTCATTTACTTCTAATTCTTAGAACTGGTAAACTATCAGCGCATGATCTGCTCTATTGAATTGTTATTCTTCCGGATACTAGTACGAGAAAACGCAACTGTCGTGAATGATTTTTAATATTATTCAAGATATTGATAGCATATTTTGTGGAAAGATGTAGAGGGAAGAAATATAAATATTAAAAATGTTCTCGTTTTTTTTTTTTTGTTTTTTGCGGGGAAGGAAAATGTATCATAAATTATAGCAGTGAGGTATCGAAAATCGAACTGGTGTATTTAAGTGTTTTACACTCACAAAAAAGAAACCTATCATTCTATAGGTATTTGAAGAACTTGTAGCAATCCGCCACAATATAATTCTTCGTATTGTTAGCCGGCACTGGGCAGCTGCAGTACATAATTGAATACAGTTGTTGAAACATTTGTTTAACAACAAGTAAATGCTTGGAATGGTCTATTCTTTCATTGGGGGGGGGGGGATGTCTGTGAGCTAGACTAGTTTCGGAGAATTCCACTCCTCATCAGTGACCCTGGACACTACCACCAATGAAATATCTGACCAAACCAAGCCCTTATAGTAGTGAGGTATTGTTTGTTTGTTTGTTTTTGAATTTCGCGCAAAGCTACACGAGGGCTATCTGCGCTAGCCGTCCCTAATTTAGCAGCGAAGACTAGAGGGAAGGCAGATAGTCATCATCACTGTCGTCTGGCAGTATAATCGTTTCAGTTGTTTTGCTTCGAAGAATTAGGGATGTATACCTGTTAATTTATTCTAATCTTGTCAAATTTTTAGGGACCTAGCCCTATGTGGAGACGTTGTACAGAGGTGACTGTTTCCTTTAGTCAACAATATGAATAGAAATAAGCCAAGAAGCACCGATGACGAGAGTAAGATTCCAATGAACCCCAATGGGAACGAGTCCAAAACCGCCATTCTGTACAACAATCATAAAGTGTCGAACGGCAATGAAAACAACAGAAAACTCCTAGCGGTCGTTAATGAAAACACTGTTGTTCCTAACGAACACTACGTAGACGACATCGCAACGCCTTACTGTGGATTGGGTTCTTTCAGACCAAAATGGCTACAGACTTTGGCGAACAAGAAGACGTTTGTGGCGATATTCTGTCTCACTAGCGTACTGCAGGGTATGTACTCCACGTACTTCGTGAGTGTGTTAACAACGATTGAAAAGCTCTACCGGGTGGAAAGTAAAACAACTGGAATTATCTTGTCGGCCACGGAAATTGGACAAATAGGTGGCGCTTTCTTTTTAACTTATTATGGTGGCCACGGTCACCGTCCGAGGTGGATAGCATTCGGAACTTTATTATTCGCCACGGCATGCTTATTTTGTTCTACCCCACATTTCCTTTTTAAGATAGATTATCCAGCTTATAGTGACCAAGATAAGTCTGATAATCAGACTTACCAAACTCTTTATGAGCTGCGTGCTGAACTATGTCATGGCAGCTTAGTGGCCTCTCATGGAGATACCAGAATCCCGACCGATACTTGGGAGTCATTGATTGACTCCAACAATGAAAATACTACCTTACCGTTACAAAATCAGAGCGCTATCTGGCGAAGAGATTCGGCAACTAATAAATCCTCCACCTACCCACCTACACTCGAATCTTATTGGTATGATAACAATTCAAAGAGCAGTTTTCCTGATGTGCCGAACAGTTCAAGTCAGACAACTGGGTTTGTTCTTGCGATATTTTTCATCAGTCTTCTGTTTATTGGAATCGGAGCTACTGCAGTTTACACCCTTGGTATTCCTTACATCGACGACAACGTAGCCACACGAGATTCCCCGATGTATTTTGGTAAGTAACAGACAACTTCATTTGACTAACGATAAAATGTGATACAATAATTTTGTTCTACTGAAAGTAGTCTTATCCCTTTTCATAATCTCGTTATAAGGATATATGTATTGTGTTTTTGTAGTGAGTTTAGATTATATTTAACTAAGGCTGCTGAATTTTTACGAAATGCTAGTGGGTAAACAGTCAGAAGGATAAACTTGGGGTCACATCTAACTGTGCTCCTTTAATCGTGAAGCTGGAAGCGGTGTCCCTAATACGGATATCTAACTGTGCTCCTTTAATCGTGAAGCTGGAAGCGGTGTCCCTAATAAGGATATCTAACTGTGCTACTTTAATCGTGAAGCTGGAAGCGGTGTCCCTAATAAGCATATCTAACTGTGCTCCTTTAATCGTGAAGCTGGAAGCGGTGTCCCTAATAAGCATATCTAACTGTGCTCCTTTAATCGTGAAGCTGGAAGCGGTGTCCCTAATACGGATATCTAACTGTGCTCCTTTAATCGTGAAGCTGGAAGAGGTGTCCCTAATAAGCATATCAAACTGTATTGCTTTAATCGTGAATCTGGAAGAGGTGTCCCTAATAAGCATATCAAACTGTACTGCTTTAATCGTGAATCTGGAAGAGGTGTCCCTAATAAGCATATCAAACTGTATTGCTTTAATGGTGAATCTGGAAGAGGTGTCCCTAATAAGCATATCAAACTGTACTGCTTTAATCGTGAATCTGGAAGAGGTGTCCCTAATAAGCATATCAAACTGTACTGCTTTAATGGTGAATCTGGAAGAGGTGTCCCTAATAAGCATATCAAACTGCACTGCTTTAATCGTGAAGCTGGAAGTGGTGTCCTAAAAAGCCTAAAGTGTAACTGTATTGTTACATTGTGAGCCGGAAGTAGTGTTCCTGGATATCCAAACCTTTAAATTTCGTGGTATAGCAGTAACATTAACAGTGGATTTTCCTGGGAAACGAATATAAGAAATCGTTATCCTAAAATTAGAATTGAGCGACCAATATAATGCAGAAAAATATAATTAGGGTACTGATTAGAAAGAAATCAATGGAACCGTCTAGGCCTCTGTTTGAGCAGCTGTCTATTAAAGAGATGTTTTTTTTAAAGTGCATTGATTAGATTGAATAGTGGGAGACACCCGGTAAAGCGGTTAGATCATTATGGTAACACAAGGGGGAGTAGTTAAGGGTCTGTGTGAGTTACTTAGGAGAAGAACAACAGTAGGGCTTAGACACTGATATTTTGTGGGTGTGGAACTTTTTAATGCAATTCCGGAAGAAATACATTTGTTTATGAATTTCGCGCAAAGCTACACGAGGGCTATCTGCGCTAGCCGCCCCTAATTTAGCAGTGTAAGACTAGAGGGAAGGCAGCTAGTCATCACCACCCACCGCCAACTTTTGGGCTACTCTACAGTAGGCTACTCTTTTACCAACGAATAGTGGGATTGACCGTCACATTATAATGTCCCCACGGCTAAAAGGGTATTTGGTGTGATTGCAGATTGCGAGACGAGCGCCCTAACCACCTGGCCATGCCGGGCCGAAGAAATTCGTACAAATAATAAACCAAAACAATTAAAAACAGTATTTTATTGATTTGAATTAAATACAAGTAATGGATAAATAAGTGCAGGAATAACTGTGGTAAATAACAATCAATAGAAAAAAATAACTAAGCCTAAATTAAATAGATTAATAACAATCAATAGAAAAAAATAACTAAGCCTAAATTAAATAGATTAATAACAATCAATAGAAAAAAATAACTAAGCCTAAATTAAATAGATTAATAACAATCAATAGAAAAAAATAACTAAGCCTAAATTAAATAGATTAATAACAATCAATAGAAAAAATAACTAAGCCTAAATTAAATAGATTAATAACAATCAATAGAAAAAATAACTAAGCCTAAATTAAATAGATTAATAACAATCAATAGAAAAAAATAACTAAGCCTAAATTAAATAGATTAATAACAATCTATAGAAGAAATAACTAAGCCTAAATCAAATAGATTATAGGAATAGTAAAGAGTGTAATATAAAATCTTATAATAATTTAGCACAAGAAGCATCTTTATTTTTATAAATAAATAATTAGGTAATTACCAATTCACTTTAAACAGTATTTGTTGTTAAGTATTTATTTAATAGGCAAGCCTAACTTTATAAATTTTATCATTTTGTTTTTTTAATATACGAAATACCTACGTTCGTATGTAATTATACCGAGACCTCCCACAGAACAGGGAAGCACAGATAGCCCTTGTGTAGCTTTGTGCATAATTAAAAACAAACAAACAGAACAGGAACTAAGCCTTAAAGTGAGAGGCAATTTCCAATTAATTTTAATTTTGTATTAACAATAACCCAACAAATGATTTATTATAAAAGAAAAAATACTAAAAGTACCCCCCTCACCCCCCCCCTTCAAGGTGAATGGAAAAAAAAAAGTAAATGGATTTTCTTAATTTGTACCGTCTGACATTCTCGCTGCAGCCCTGGCATTGCAGTGATTCACAATGCTGTCGCCACCATAAAGATACGAATTCACCCTGAAAATCACTCAGTATTTCCTCAGTTGCGCACGCACCGAAAACAAATTTATTGACTTCAGTATATTTTGTAGTCTATAAGCTATATGACAAATATGTAGATTTAGTAAATTACGCCCCTTGGCACCTACAACTTTTTTTTTTATGGTTTTTTTAAACAATATTCTGATCGACCTCAGAACCCCTGGTGGAAACTTTTAATATTAGGCTAATTATGGGAAGATGTTCAGGCCGTGCATAACGATGTATTTAAAATATCGTGACTGTCATAAAACAGAAAGATTTCGACACAAAGTTCTCGTTGCTTACTTATTTTCCTAACGTGATACAATGTTTAAATAACTAAGCATGATGAAGAATAAGAAAACAAATCAAGTGAAAACTTTGTTATCGTTCTTACAAGATGGTGGCGACAAATAGTGTAATGTTTTAGTCAGAACTGCGTCGAAACATCACAGTATATACTAGTATTTGGAACGTATACTTAATGTTCTTTCTTTTTAATTGTTTTATAGTTAGTATAAAAGAACAAATACTGGTAAAGAATTGATTCCCTTCTTTCCACAAACCATTTACTGGTTGGCCAGAAATACAAAAACCTAAAATGAGCATGCGTGTAAGGCATATACATCTACATATGTTTCGTCTGCGTATTTGTCTATTTTTTCTTACTCGGAAGAATTTGATATATTTTGAATAAACAGATAACTCCGACACTGACACACGTAGTATGATGCTAATTGGTCAGCTACCAAAAGATTGTGATCCTCATCATAAAGTCATATGATAACCATACCAAAAGTACAAACTTAAGTTGGAGTAAGTTAAAAAAAAATGGAACAGAAGAACGTAAACATAAACGCATTAAATGATTACCAATGGTAATATGTACTAGAAATTCTACCTTTCGAGGCAAGAAATAAGAAAATGTCGACCTCTTCATCGAATCGTCTAGTAAAAAAATTGTATAATTATTCAAGAAAATGTGGCGTGCGATATACTGCTTTAGGTTAATAATTTGGTTAAATTAATAATTGAAATAACTCGATCGAGTGTTGAGCTTTGCTGTCAGTATATATGGAGATAGATTATATCTTCTGTTAGCCTGAAGACTTTTCCAATAGGGAAGGGCCCGGCATGGCCAGGTGGTTAAGGTGCTCGCCCTTTCAGTCGTGGGGGCGTTATAATGTGACGGTCAATCCCACTATTTGTTGGTAAAAGAGTAGCCCAAGAGTTGGCGGCGGTTGGTGATGACTAGCTACCTTCCCTCTAGTCTTACACTGCCAAATTAAGGACGGCTAGCGCAGATAGCCCTCGTGTAGCTTTACGCGAAATTCAAAAAACAAAACAATAGGGGAGTTAAAAGGCTTTCAGTAAACATTAAAACAAAATATAAACCCGATGAAATTAAATTGCCGTCCATTCAACCAAATTTCATCATGAATAGTCTGCCTACACAATCTATCAAAGAAAATACTAACCCACCCAAGGGAGTTAGTTTTCTAAGAGAAAGTAAAATGGATAACAACAACAACAATGGCACATGGTGGTGGTAATTTTATAACATTCAAGGTGATTGTGAAGTAAGGTATAAACGGGACCACAGACGATGAACAGTCGACGTAGAAGAATAATGGAATTTTAGAATATGGTTTTGGTTTCCACTGAAAAAATTTTGATGTTAGAGGCGCCACCTATTTGTATGGAAAAGAAATATCTTTCACCTAAATAACGACTGCTTTTAAACTAGGAAGAAAGAGATAAATGCTGATTAAATCTGACCTTAACCCGATCTACTATGATTATCTGGTTTTTAGTGATTCTGGTTTTCGTCTCTTCCATCACCTTAGAGTTTATCATTAGGGCCTACTTCTTTTTTTTGTGTTTTTTTTTCACGTTTTGTTTCTGGGGTTTAACATTGGTGTTGAAATTCTTTTTCCACATTCCCCAGCCCGACATGGCCAGGTGGTTAGGGCGCTCGACTCCCAATCTGAGGGTCGCGGGTTCGAATCCCCGTTCCACCAAACATGCTCGCTCTTTCAGCCGTGGGGGCGTTATAATGTGACGGTCAATCCCACTATTCGTTGGTCTTATATGATGGTCTTAGTTATTGGAACTTCCAGTTGATGAGCCTAATCATGTGGATCTTCCAGTTGATTATCTTAATGATTGGAACTTCCAGTTGATGAACCTAATCATGTAGATCTTCCACTTGATGATTCTAATGATTGGAACTTCCAGTTGATGAACCTAATCATGTGGATCTTCCAGTTGATGATTCTAATGATTGGAACTTCCAGTTGATGATTCTAATGATTGGAACTTCCAGTTGATGAACCTAATCATGTGGATCTTCCAGTTGATAATTCTAATGATTGGAACTTCCAGTTGATGAACCTAATCATGTGGAACTTCCAGTTGATGATTCTA